AATATGTACAAGATGTGTACAATCTCTACGGGTAAGATTTGACATTTGACCTCTCTAGGTGTCAGTACAAACTCTACAGGTGAAATTTGTATTCCAATTCACAAGAAAATTTCTTTTGTATTCTGTGAGTAACACATACTGTAAATCATTTAATTTCACTGTCACTGACGCTGAGAGACATTTTCACTGCTACATAATTTCACAAAAATTGGTCTCTCGTGAAACTATCATCGTTTACAGCAGTACATGATGATAGCCACCAGACTGTATGGATTACTTTGTACAGCCATCTGTTCCCTCTAAATGTATTTTGTGCACGAGACTAAACAAAAAAAGCAGAAATTTATTTACCACATGAGTTCATTTGAATATAACATGGGTAGACAGGGAGAATATTTATATAAAATTGTTTCTATTAGAAGTGAGTCAGATGTTTTTTTACCTTTAAACTATTTTAACACTTTACTGCTGTACACTGATAGAAATGTTATTTCTGAAGATACAATAAAATACTCTAAAATACTTTATTTTAGCTGGAATTAATTTTCTCTGAAAAGACTTTTTGGGCGTTTTGTTTGAAATTTATTTTCACTGCTTTTTGACAAGTTGAATGTAAAATATAGAAAAAAAAAAGTATATTCACTGGATTTTATTTTCACTGATTCACCCAGTCAGCGAAAATAACAAAAATAAATTCCAAGTGAAAATAAAATATTTTACAGTATTTCCACCCTAGCAGTCCAGATTATATTACAATCTATGGTAAAATACATTGTTTGACGACAAGTAAAGGTGAAACACAACCTGTGCAATGATTTGACTGACATGCTGAATACCTTCGACTCAATTACAGGAACTGTTTTCATTCTGTGGTGGTGACAGGAGTTCATCTCAGGGATGGCCTGAACTACATACAGTGTCTTTAAGTTTTAACCATGTCTTTGAATTAGATGAATCATTGGTAAGTACACTCTTGTTGATTAAATCTAATCAGCTGATGTCAGAATCAGCAATCTATTGATCACTTGTATATTTGTTCAACTATTTCAATCATAAAAAACTCTGTTACTCGATTTTTAGATTGTCCAAAACATGAGACTTGTGTTTTGGGTTACATCCATGTGTGTGCTCGTATATATACATGTGTAGTTTTTCTTCAGTTGTTTTAGGGTTGTAGATCTATTTTTTTTCAAAAAAAAAGTAAATCACAAAATTGTCATCAAGCGTTTCTCATTCCTGCATGGCTGGATCAATTGATTCAAACTTGGTATAAACCCCCAACCTAATGTTTTGTAATTCAATTCAAAATGACGGATTGATGGCCCTGTGTTTCTGACCATTTCTGGGACATATATTATTCAAAATTGTTATTAATACCAAGACATAATTGTCTGTCTTCAAGTTTTATTACCTTGCCCGTACCATCAAAGATGGAAGGGAAAGGTATATTAAGGGAAAGATTTTGTCCGGCGTTGTCGTTGTTGTTGTCGTCGTCGTTGTCGTTGTTAATAATTGTTATTGTGTGCATAATAACTTTACTAATTCCATTCCAAACTTTATCAAACTTGCTCACCTTATTCATCAGTATAAAGTCTTCCCTGAGTTTGAACAACAGATGCCCTGTATGAAAATATCATCCAAAAATTGAGAAAATCTGATAAAATATTTT